AGTGCAAATAATAATATATATATCATAGGATGTGAGGGTTAATGGCAAATATGTAAAATGCTCTGCATGGCACCTGAAACAGTAAATGCCCAGTTAATCTTAGTTATTTGTCTTAGTCCATTTGGGCTGCTGTAACAAAATACCACAGACTGGGTGGCTTAGGAACAACAAAAATTTATTTCTCACAGTTCTGGAACCTGGAAGTTCAAGATCAGGATGCTAGCTGGTCCTAGGTTCTGATGAAAGCCCTTTTTCAGGATGCAGCCTGCCAACTTCCGCTGCATCCTCACATGGTGAAAGGCGCAAGGTGAGGGCATTAATTTCATTCATGAAGAAACCCACATGACTTAGTCCTCCCAAAGGCCTAAAACCTCCCAAAGATCCTATCTTCTAATAGTATCACATTGGATTTTAGTATTTCAACAAACGAATTTTTAGAGAATATAAACATTCAGACCATAGCACCATTTTTATTATAATAGCACGTAAATTGTCAAAAATGTTGTTATTTTCAGAGGTGAGGTTTAGAACCTCACCCCCCCTGTTTTGAGAGAAATCTTCTGCATCCATGGATGTTTTGTTGCCCTTCTCTAGCTTGGATTAATACTTAGTCTATAGGCACAGACCTGATCATCTACATTTGCCCTCTTACAGCACTAAACTATGTTTTCTACCTGTATCTTGCATCTACCTACCACTTCAGCATTTTATTAAAAAAAAAATAATAATAATAATAAGGGAGAAATGTGAGATTCACATACAAATCAAGTATAAAAATCAAACAAATATTCATATTTGACCTGATTGTTTATAGCTCATAATGCGTGATCAAAACCGAAAGTTTCTGTGATGACTGCCCTTGCACTGTTCACCATGTAAGAATTTGTTCACCATATAAGAACTTGTTCATTATGCTTCAGAAGATCAGAGACTGTTGAGAATTAGGCTTGGGGTTGATTAATGATTGTGCATGGAGTCCCCTATGCAGAATTTTATTGTTGTGAACAACCATTTGATCAATAAATATGAGAGATGCCCTCTCAAAAAAACAATGTTGTTATTTTGATTTTAGAAAAGTCGTTAGGACTCTAACTTTCCCTAAGCATGTTCCCTATCTCTTTGGAATTCATGGACTTTATATCTTATTTCCCTCAAGGTTTCTGAGCCTTTCTTAAGGATAATGAATCAACCTGATAAAAAGCTTGGGTATTAATAAAAAGGACCAAAGAAATGTCTGGTCAACTAACCAAAGCTATTACTCTACTTTTCCATGCAACCCAGGTACATATTAAAAATGGCATTCAGGATTTAATAATCCTTATCCCCTCAAATCTAATCTCAACACACAGAGTAGTTCTTTTAAAATCTAAGTCAAATCATCTCACTCTCCTGCTCAAACTCTTCTATAACATCCCATCCCCCTCAAAGACCAAAATCATTGCAGAGGCTCTAAATGAATTGTAAGGCCCTAAGTGATCTAGTGCTTGGCTACTTTTTTTTTTCAATTTACTTTTTAATATTTATTGTTTATTATTTTTCACTTATGTAACACCAGTACCTAATACAAGTATCGGTTCAATATGTATTTGTTGAATGAATTAATACATTATTGAATACAATAATCTTTTGGACATATATATAATAATAACAGAAATAAATGATTTGTCATTTAGTATATAACATACTTAAATGACCAAAAATTAATATAACCTGCTTAATACAATCACAAGGTCTGTAAAGGGATCATATATCATCAAATGCAGTTAGCAGCTACTATAAAATAATTTTTTTTTTGAGAGGGCATCTCTCATATTTATTGATCAAATGGTTGTTAACAACAATAAAATTCTGTATAGGGGAGTCAATGCTCAATGCACAATCATTAATCCATCTCAAGCCTAATTCTCGTCAGTCTCCAATCTTCTGAAGCATAACGAACAAGTTCTTACATGGTGAACAAATTCTTACATAGTGAATAAGTTCTTACATGGTGAACAGTACAAGGGCAGTCATCACAGAAACTTTCGGTTTTGATCACGCATTAAGAACTATAAACAATCAGGTGAAATATGAATATTCGTTTGATTTTTATACTTGATTTATATGTGGATCCCACATTTCTCCCTTTATTATTATTATTATTTTTATTTTTAATAAAATGCTGAAGTGGTAGGTAGATGCAAGATAAAGGTAGAAAACATAGTTTAGTGTTGTAAGAGAGCAATTGTAGATGATCAGGTGTGTGCCTGTAGACTATGTGTTAATCCAAGCTAGACAAGGGCATTAAAACATCCACGGATGCAGAAGATTTCTCTCAAAACAGGGGAGTGAGGTTCTAAGTCTCACCACTGTTGATCCCCAATTTCTCACCTGATGGCCCCCCTGCGACTGTGCCTGTCTTAGGTTGTTCCTCCCTTGAGGAATCTTACCCATCTCTGACTAACCAGTCATCTTCCGGGGCCATACAGGGAAATGTAAAGTTGGTAAGTGAGAGAGAAGCCATATTGTTTGAAAAGGTTAGGTTTTTACTTCTTTGCAGATTTATGCCCTGTGGCTTCTATGCCCAGCATTTGTCTTGAGGTATCTTTACCACTTGGAGGAATTATGATACTCGGTAAATTTGATATGAGGCACGAATTCTATTTAAGGGTTGTAATTAGGAAGGAAGAAGAAAAGCTATAGAAGTAGCAGACAGAAGAAAACATGGGAGGATTGATTATTTCTTTGACATATCTTCTTGTAGAGTAACTTAAGCATGTATAGGTTTTAACTACTAATTAAATTGCACACACACATTAACATAATAGGAATACAGTTACATAACCAAAGCGGATCTATAATTACCAGCCATCTCCAGTGAAGCCAAGAAAACCAGTTAGGCATCCTAGGCATTTGTGAAAATTTGTCCATGATATGATGGATATTGTCCGACTGTACTTGAACAGTCTGAGAGACATCAGACAAATCAAAACAACCCACTCCTGGGAACTGTTCACCTCCCATATGTTCTTTTAACAGTAGATAGTCTGTAGTCATAAGATTTTGGAGTGCTACAACTTGCACTTCTCCTAATTCTTGGTTGAGTTCCAACAGTATAGATCCAGTCAAATTTGTTGCTTTAATGAAAGCACAGGCCAGCTTAGATATCTCCTTCTTCATTCCAATGGCAAGTCCAGGAACCGGTGGGATGGATGCAGCTACAACTGCAGCATCGCCTGGATCTTTGTTGAGGTTTTTTGATGATGCTTGGCTACTTTTTAACTCATCTCTGACTATCATAGTTTGTCCCAGCCTTTCCTTATATCTGCCAGGCATACTTCATTCCCAGCGCCTTTGCATTTGCTGATTTTTTTTCTGTTGTGAAAACTTATAAAGGGAAGCCTCATTGACAAGACAGCAGGAGGCCTGCAGGGGGAGCTCTCATATCCACAACTCCTGGTCAATTGCCAACCCCACAGGAAGAGACAGACAGACATCTTATAACTCATACTATTTTGGCTACCTTACCACCCAGGAGGAGGAGGGGAGAGTTTCTGCCACCCCAGCAACAGCTTGGCAACAGCCCAGCCAATGAAAGATTGTTATAACTCAGCCAGTTAACAGCCACTACACATGGGACTCCCAGTTTCCTCCAGTGGACTTGTGGTTAGAACAGGCCCCCAACTCTCCCACTTCTATAAAAGAGCTCTCCCCTCCTTTGTTTTCCCCTCACTGTGGTTTTGCCATTGCTTATGTGTCCTATTTTGTTCTGAATTGCAATTCTTTGTGTTCCCAAATAAATCCAGTTTTGCTGATTGTAGGTAAAATTGCAATATTTCCAGAATCTTTTGCCTGGCCTTAGTGCATCTCCACGTCTATACATGTTTGCAAGGGGTGGAGAGAAGTAGCCCATCTCCATATCAATAGGTGATTACGAAGTGTGTGGAGAGCAAGCGGACACCTGGACCAGAGAGGTATTTTCGGGGTCTTTACTGTGGCTGGTTTGGAAGAGATGGGCGAGCCCAAGTAGATGACTGCTTGTAAGCAATGAATAGGTTTCTCCTATTTTATTTCTCCCTTTGACTGATTTTGGCTTCAAAGGTTATTTGCCCTGGGCTGGGACCATATTTTCCCCCAGATTTACACTGGTAAAATAACTGACATATTTAAGTTTAATATTATCAACAAATCTCTTTCCATAGATATCTACTTGTCTTCCTTCCTCAGCTCCTTCCAGGTCTTTGCTCATATGTCACCTTTGGCTGACAATACTTTATAAAGTAGCAAAATCTTCCCTCTTCTTATTTTGCTTTGTTTTTCTCCCCTACCACTTACAATACCTGACACATCATATATTTACTTTTTGTTTCTTTCTTTAGAATGTAAGTTACATTAAGACAGAAATTTTCATGTGTTTTGTTCCCTACTCTATCCTGTGCAACAGTCCCAGGTACATTTGGTACTCCATAAGTACATATTGAATGAATGTTCTTCAAAACTGTCTTCCTTTATAATCAAGTAATTTTAGCAGAAAAGTGGAGCACAATAGTTGTTTTACTGGGAGAGGAAGCCAGTCAAATGGATTCCTGCCCTAGCTGATCTAGAGATGCTTTCTACCATAAGCTCAAATACACCTAGACAGTTCTGTCCTTTTAAGTTGGCAGAATTTCATGAAATACTGAGCTCCTTCTAAGGCAAAGACAGAAAGAGACAGATTTGAAAGGTATCTGGTTTCCCTCCTCAGTACTCCTCCAATATGCTTTGTATGAGGATGGGTTTAATGACTTCATCTTTTTATTATTTAAAAATGAATACATTGTTTGTTTACCTTCTCCAAAGACACAGTAGCTTTTCTAGTAATGGATTTAAAAGATCTTAGAAGATTTAATAACGATGGTTAACTTTGCAACTTGAGTGGATAGCAGCCTGGCTCGGGACTGAACTACAATTCCCAGAGTGCATCTCTAGATGGATTCTGGGAAATGTGGCAGAAGCATTTTTTTTTAAACAACTCTGGTTAACTTTGGATGATTTGGCAGCCAACAAGAGCAATGAACTACATTTCTCAGTCTGCATTTCTAGGAGAATTCTGGGAAGTGTGGCAGAGGCAGCCATGGTCTAGGGAAGGGAAGTCCAATGTCCCAAGAACATTTGGAATTTCCTGGTTTCTGCTGTTGCTGAGGCCTAGGAAGGTGCTCCCCAACATAATTCAGAGTGAGTATAGTGAAATAGAAACCTGTTGAGGGTACATGTGCAGGAAGGATTTTAACGGGGAGGCATAAAAACTTGAAAAAGCTCTCAGTCACAGCATGTGTAATTTTACCTTAGTCTCTCTTCTTTCAAAAACCAGAGAATGACCACAGTTTTGCATCATAACTTGTGGGGCTATTTTATTAATTGCAACTAATAATTTTCTGATACTTTTTTGGAAGTTGTTTAAAAATGGGCTTTGCTAACTCTCTGCATTGTACTTGCATTATTTTTGAATTAAGGGAAGATAACTGTATTTTAGAAAGGAAAACATAAAGCTTGTCAGTGAGACCTTGAAATCTGTATCCCAGTGACTCCTCAGTTTCACCTATTTCCCAGGACTATGCAGTCCATAGTCATGAAAAGACAGACTCCAAGAAGGGTTCTCTTAAACCCTATTGAACCTGGCCTCTTGCTGGTAGCAGTAACCACAGAGATTTCTGGTGGGCCTTCTTGTCATGCCATAAGTGCTTTATAAAGTAATCTTTCTTCTTTTAAGATGAACAGGATGAGAAATGTGGGACTCATTTATTACAGGGGATTCAGAGAAATTGTTATTAAAGCCCTTGCCTCCTCATTCAATAGTTTTTGGTAAAAATAGTATTACCTTTCATTCCTATCAGTCTTTGTATTTAAAAAACATAAGTAGTAAATTAATGTTGGAGGATGCTTTCCCATGTATTTCTATCAAAACAAGCTTTGGAGCCAGATAGCTCCGAGTTTGAATATGCTGCTCTCTAAATTCAGATCTCAGATTGGTTAATCTCTCAAAGCTTTATCTTCCTTATTTATAAAATGTGTTAAATGCATGAATGCATTCATTCAGTCATACATACTGTGTTTTATACCATGATAGGGATTGTGCTAGATGCTGTACTGTAGGGGATATGCATTCCCAACCCTTAAGGATTTTACAGTCTAATAGATCAAAGAATTAGGTATGTCAAAAGCTGACATAGTTGTAATACACTTAGATCCATTTTCTCTCCTTCCTTCCCCTGTGAGAAGTGAGACAGAAATCAGGTTCCAACAGGTTAAGTTCCAACAAGCCCCACGTCACAAATTCAGTAAATGAGGAGCCAGGAATAAAAGTCCCTGAGTCTCTTCAGAGCTTACTTCCCTGCTCCTTTGCTTTGGAGACATGCACCATGAACAAAATAAAAGGCGGGCCTGAATTTGTCATCTAAAGTAAAATAGTGGCAGTATTTTTTTCCAAAAGTAATTTTGTGAATAGTGAATTTTTATCCTCAGTGCTGTCAGGCATAAAATTCAGTAATAGTTGCCAATTCAAACAAAAACAACCATTTTGTTTATAATGTGGCATTTGAGCAGCTGGATGTGAGTAATGTAGCACGTTTCGCAGCTGTTTACCAGCATGTTTACCAAATCAGAGCCCTTGGGCCAATACAATGAATAACATCACACTGAAGACCCCTAAAAGACAGTGAAAAATCACAAACCATTTCAGAATAAAAGTAACAGATTTGTCTTTTACTAAATCTGTTAGTAAATCTGTTTACTAAATCTGTTAGCTTTCTAAATAGTATAGGGCTATAAGAAATTACACTTTCATCCTAAAAGTAATCTAACATATCCTCTTGACTGTTAACCTCTTTTTTGTAAAAGTGGTACATATAGCAGTTGATTCCTACAGTGCATTTTGGTGATTATATTGTAGAGGATGCTGTAAATGTACTATAATATTTTACAATCAGAATAGTCAAAAGTAGAGTAAAGCTATAATAAATAAGTGAGCACAGGACATCAAATAAACAACTAACAAAAAGGGGATCTAAAACTATTAAAGCTGAAAACACTTTCATTCTCTATACTGGTCAAAGAAATATGTTTTTTTTTAAAATCCAATACTTCTGAATCTTGCAAGTGTGACAACATAGAGGAAGACCTATATAATTTTAAAATGAATTTTATCCCATAATTCTACTTTGGGAAATATATCTTGAAGAAATGACCTGAAAATATCAGCACAGAGATATTTAGTGGTACCTTATTTCTGGTAATTTAAAATCAGAGCAACCTAAATGTCTAAAATCAGGGTAATGCTTAGCAAAAGAAGGATGAGTCTCCTTGAATGTAATATTATGCAACTGAAAAACTTATAAAGCTTATACAGAAATAAAGAAAACTGCTTATGACTTATTTCATGAAAGCAAGTTGAAAAAAATGTGTCCTCTGATTATAAATATGTAAAACTTGTATGTGTAAAAAGACTAGAAAACACAAATTAAATTACAAGTTATATTTATGTGGTGATACTATAGGTGATCTCACAACTCTGTTTTCCAGATGTCCTGTAATGTAGTTATTATTAATTTTATAATGTAAATGATCTACTTAAAAGAGAAAAAGAGCTGAATTTCAAGGATATCATTTTTTTTTTACTTTTAAATAGTGTCTGTACAGCTTTTATGTAAGATATGTATAAAAATAATAGAGGGGCCATTTAGAAAAGGAATTAGATTTAATCTTCACTAGGTTTATGACTATCAGTAAAGTACAATTCTCAGTTAAAATAAGTCTGGTTTTCCTCTGATTACTGATATTTTTTTCAAAGCTGTATTATGAACATTACCATGTTTTCTACGAGCTCTGTGACCACCATCCCGTGAGTCAGCAGGCCCTGATAATCCACAGTTGGCTAAGGCTAATTTAGTAACAGAAATGAGGCAGAACATTGGGCAGCCAAGTACAGTGGCAAACAGATTAGTTGGTAGTCATAACTGTAGCTGATCGACTCTTACCATTCTCCAGATTCAAGGAACTCATCAAAGGAATTCCTTTTGGCTCCCAGGGATTACGGTGAGGTGCTACTGAGAACAATGGCATAGAAACAGACTTGTGCAGTTAGTCCCAGGAACTCATATTTACTGAATGTATTGTAAAAGGAGTATTACATATGCTCAAAAAAAGTTTTAAGTACAGAAATGCATAAAGTAACAATTATTAGTACTCTTTTCAATCTCTATCTCCATCTCATTCTCCCAAATTATTCACTGTTACCAGTTTGGTATGGGTACTTCTAGTCGCTTAAAAAACAAGTTAATACAGGTCTAATTTATATCTACTGGAATTTATATGTCCTTTTCTTTAAAAATTAGATGATGCTACACAAACCAAATAATTCTTGCTTTTTTTATTTAATATTTTGAATGTCTTTCCCTGTTACTACATATATATATATATATATTCTACTGTTATCTTATTTCCTTTTAATTTTTAATCAGCTATATATTATTCCCTATTATAATTTTCAGTTAATGTTCTTGTACATATCCTTTCCTCATTAGCATAAATTATTAGAAGTGGACTTGCTAGGTGAAAGAGTTGTTAATTTAACATTTTGATAGATAGTCCAAAATTGTCCTCCAAAAATCTTGTACCAATTTATATTCACAGAGTTGTAAGACAGAAGTATTGACTTAAAATACATTCCTCCCAGTATTCACACAAGTCTTTGGGATATTAAAATAGGGATTATACTTTTAATATTCTCCTAGAATGCTTTGAAACCCACATATCACATATCGTCCTCTGTGAAAGCTGTAATTTGTTTTCTTTGTTCTGCTGGAGTCTCTTGAGGGCAGGATTTTCATCCTGTACATTTTTATGTTCCTTTAAAGGACCTTGCATAAAGTTAGTTCTCAATACAGACTTTGTTGAATGTCATTTGCTAAATATATTTTACCTTTGGCTAGGACACAGATTGTAGCCAGAACTCTCCAAGAATTAGTCATCAGTGATTCATAATTATGCAATCAAGAAGTAAGCCTGAACTTCAGACAAACCTCAATGGTTTAGTATCAAAGTTTGCTTCCTTTGAGCACAGTTAAAAGGGTGGTTGGTTGTTTAAACTGTACTAATTTTCTCATTTCAGTGGGACTTCTTGACTTTTTTATTGCTAATGTGAAATGTACTTTTCATGGGGAATAAAATACAATTTAAAAGAAATATGCAATTTAAAAGAAATCACCTGTTGCAAAATGGATTAAGATATAGAATTTTTTTCTCTCACAATGTGATACAAAAAAATAAAATAGAAAATATCTTAGATTCATGTAGATTTGCATAGCTTCCTTTTGAAATATTTTCCTAATGGCCATGATTTTGTATTTTTCTTATTTATATGATTCCTCCTACTTTATTCACAGAGGGACTTTGGTTTTCATGTATTCCGAGAAACTTGGCTCCATTACTCTGGAGACCCTCCCTGCCTTACTTAGTTTGTTAGACTAGTGCTAGCTTCTGTAACAAACTTCAAAATTTCAGTGGCTTGATATGGTAGAAGTTTACTTCTCACTTACAAATATTCCAAGGTGTTGTGTCTTTGGTTGGAGGGTGGTTTTCTCCATGTAGTGATTCAGGGATCCAGACTTCTCCGTTTAATGGCTCTGCTATTCCAGAGTCTTCAAGCAGAAGGGGAAAATAAGGATGGGAAGGCATACCCACTTCTTAACTGCTTCAGCCTAGAATAGGTACACATCACTTCCACTCAAACACCATTGTTAAGACCTAGTTTTGGCCCTGCTTGGATATAAGAGAGGTGAGAAATGTAGGCCTTGGCTTGGCAGCTACCTCCCAGAAACAATTCTGTAGTATAGGAGAAGCACGTATATTTTTGTGGATATTTAGCTGATTCTCACAATAATCTGTTGGGTAGGTAGAATAGGTTTCAATTTTGTAGATTAGGAAAATGATACTGAAATATTGAAATTCCATACCTAGTTAGTGGTAGAAATGCAATTTAGAAACCAGATCATCTCAGTCCTATTGTTTCTCTTTCCTTAATATTAAAAGGTAATTATATCCTAAAGTATACCCCCCATGGTAATTTATTTACTTTAATTGCATACTATGACTTTTTTAAAACTCATCTTTCCTCTAAGGACCTGACAATGTGGAATTGTGGAATTGCTTGCTGGAGAAAATCTTTTTTGTGCTATAGGCTGATGTCAACCTATGTCACTAAAACCCGGTGAGTTTTTACTAATCTGAGCTCTGATTATTTTTATCTTTAGCCCATTAAGCTATAAATATATCAAGATCCTATATTGAGAATTAAGGGTGTATGATTTACATATAAGGATATTCATTGTAAACTATAATTGGAAAAATTCTAAACAAATGAAATTTCCAGTAATATCTAAAATAACCAAAATGTCTCACATACCTATAAGTTCTATTAAGATCTTTTCCACTGTTATTCCTACTGCATAAAACAGTACCTGGAACATAGTAGGCACTGAGTATTGCTGAATGGGTGAATGAACAGCAAGGGAAAATTAAACTATGGTACACCCATATGATGGAATTAAAACTACACGAAATAGAACTTTCCTGAAAATATGGTAGATAACTCCAATCCTCACATCTCCACCTACCCCCAATAAAGAGCTAAACATCAGTGATAGGTAGACTAGAAAGAACAAAAATTTATACCAGTACAGAAAGATGATAAAGGACTTCTTAGCCTGAGCAAATTTGAAATCACTAGCCTGTGTTCACATAGTTTTGGGGTTTAAATTTGTGCCATCTGTGTAGTGTGGTCCCCAAACCCCCAATCTAAGTGAAGAATTTAAGTAGTAGTCCTCAACTTACAATACTCCTGGGATACCTTGCAGAAGCAAATGTTAAACTCCTCTAAAGGGATATACTCACAGCCAGAGCTTCCCACATAAAAAGTTCACCAAACATGAGTGTTCAGTCCAAAATTCAAAGGTACATAAACATACAAACTTACATAAAAGCAAGTGTGGTGTGAGAAAACAACAAAATTATAATTATAATACTTGTTTTAGATATTGTTGGGCTTTTAGTTTATTTGCAGTTCTTAGGCTAAGACTCTGAGAACAGTACCAGAATTACTAAATAGTCTAAAAAATGAGTATTTAAAGTGATTGCAATATATAAAAAATGAATAAAAAATCATGAGAAAAGAATAAAATTCAGGAACACAGCCCACACCAGGCAGCCCACAGCAGGATCGCCAGGGTGTGATAGGCCCAGGTAGTGGCGTCCCGGAGCACGAGGACCCAGTGCTGTTCTGTTGCAGCACAGGCCCGAGTGATGATTCTGACATTTGGGATGATACAGTATTGATAAAAGCTTACGATAAAGCTGTGACATGCTCTGAAGAATGGTGACATTTCTGAAGCTTCAGATAAAAAAAGACACACCTAAGAAAGCCTGCCAAGAATAAAAACCAAAAAAAGAATACCACAACTCCTATGCAGCAGTGGAAAGTTGGTGACAAGTATTCTGCCTTTGGTAGGAAGATGGCGGCATTTCCCAGCTACCACTGCTTCAGTTGATTTGAAGAGAGAAACCTGTGGTTTTCACTGCATATGGAAATCAAGAGGAGCAAAATCTGTCTGATCTACTTTGCCCTACCTCTGATGTAGCTAATAATGTAGAACAGAGTGCTCAGGATAATGAAAGTGAAAGTCAAATTTCAACAGATGAAAATGAGAACTCCTCCAGGTCTCCTAGAAATAAACTAAATATCAAGTCAAAAACTGCCCATAGAACTCTTTTCTCCCTCCACCATTCCATATGCTTGGATCAGGACTGAGACCAGGATATTTGGTGGCCCACCACCACCACCACCACACTTCCTATCATGCTGGCTGCCTCTATTTCCTTCTGGACTGCCAATAATCTCTGACTGTTTCCCGTATGTCCAGATTCTCTTGACGATGCTGATGCTTTGAGAAGTATGTTATTCTCTTGGTACATGAGGGGCTCTCATACTATGGGTTTCAAACAAAATAAAAAAGAAAGAAGGTACTCACATTTCAATTATGTAATGAGAAGGCAGACTCACAGAGGTGACATGACTTACCTTGGGTCACAGTGAATGGTGGAACTCTAAGACCTCAGAACTATCCCCTACTACTACTATCACAGCGGAGTAGCTGTGACAGAACATAAGGCTTCTCAGCACCCCAGCAACTGTTTCTTCCAGACTCTATGGAGTCTTGTTCTATACATGCATAATTCAGGATTCAGGCAAAGATGTAAGTGGAAACCCTACACAAATTTCTGGAGCTCCTTTTCTTCAAATCCCTCCTCTCTACACCCTACCTCTTCGAATTCCAGCTGCCTTATTCCAAGGCCCAAACTCTGTTTCTTCCAACCAGGAAGAATAATTCTCTGTGCAGGCTCTCTCTTCCATGCTGCAGTTTGGAAATCGTATCCAGACAAAAAGGGGGAAATGCAAAGCTTATCTTAAGTGTTTCCCTTTCTCAAGGATCTTTGCCCTGTGCTGTTGTCCAATGTCTGAAAATGGTTGTATCATATATTGTGCCCAGTTTTATAACTTATGTCAGGAAGACAAGTATACAGCTGTTCCCCCTATTTTTAAACAGACATTTCATAATTTTCTTCTTGAATACTTGATAGGATGACTCAATTTATTGCATCACCTTTCCCATTTTGGAACACTTAATTTTCTGAAAAGTGAATCTATTATGATGATTTAAACAAAATGTACTAAACAACAATATTACACTATATATACCTCTCAAGTGCATGAGACTAATATGTCAAATCTAGGATTAATGATAGATGTTTCTAGATGGCAATAATCTATTTACGGCTTTGTTGTTTAACATAATTCTGTAGAATTATTTTTGTGTATTGATGATTAATTTCATATGTGGGACCTCAGATTCTAAGTAGTTCTGCAAATGATCCTATGTTGTCATATTGCTTCCCCCAAAGAATAAACTAATTAATAATGCCTTCATCCTTCACACTTATCTAATTGCTAGAATATCTACTTGTTATAGTTTGAGAACTGTTCCTTTCTCCATTGTTATTCTTGTTTGTAAAATAAGAGTTATAAAATATTTTGAATTTAGTTTTGAACAATTACAAGTTTTTCCCACTAACCAAAAGTAGAGCATTCCTAAGAAACCTTTCCTAAGCCCAAATGGCATAAAGGAAGGAAGCAATTGTCATTAATTTATATGGAAAAAAATGTGAGCATTCCCAGACCCCCAAAATAACCTCTGTTAGGCTTTTCTGATACCTTAGGACACATTTTGCTAACAGATGAACAAAATAAATCAAGATAAAGCACAGATGTTCCAAGACACAGTTCAAAGATATGGTGGCTTGATGCTGAGTGTAATTCCTGGGGAAAGAGCTTGGCAGTACCTTTATAATAGCTTGCTGCAAAATATTGAACACTATTTTTGTATTTTGCCTTTTTTCATAAAAGTGAAAATCCTCCTAGGATTTCTTTTGGTTAGTGAGAACAGGTGCAGTAAACAGTACTAATGTAGGTCTTTTGTAAAAATGAAGTGGCATAATGCCAGCTTTTGAAAAGCAGGGGATGTTTGTATTCAGTTTGTTCAGTTTTTTGTTTTTAAAAAACTACATTACGTATACTTGTTACATATAGCAGTCTGACAGGGAGATGTCTTTATTTATTTATTATTTATTTATTTTGATATCATTAATATACACTTACATGAGCAACATTGTGGTTACCAGATTCACCCCATTGTCACATACCCCATTACAGTCAATGTCCATCAGCATAGTAAGATGCTAGAGTCACTACTTGTCTTCTCTGTGTTATACTGCCTTCTCTGTGCCCACCTCCCTACATTATGTCTGCTAATGCCCCTTTTCCCCTTATCCCTTCCTTCCCACCCATCCTCCCCAGTCCCTTTCCCTTTGGTAACTGTTAGTCCATTCTTGGGTTCTGTGAGTCTGCTGCTGTTTTGTTCTTTCAGTTTTTGCTTGTTCTTATGCTCCACAGATGAGTGAAATCATTTGGTACTTGTCTTTCTCCACCTGGCTTATTTCACTGAGCATAATACTCTCTAGCTCCATCCATGTTGTTGCAAATGGTACGATTTGTTTTCTTCTTATGGCTGAATAATATTCCATTATGTATATGTACCACATCTCCTTTATCCATGCATCTACTGATGGACACTTACGTTGCTTCCATTTCTTGGCTATTGTAAATAATGCTATGATAAACATAGGGGTGCATATGTCTTTTTCAAACTGGGCACCTGCATTCTTAGGGTATATTCCTATAAGTGGAATTTCTGGGTCAAATGATATTTCTATTTTGAGCTTTTTGAGGAACCTCCATATTGCTTTCCACAATAGTTGAACTGATTTACATTCCCACCAGCAGTGTAGGAGGGTTCCCCTTTCTTCACATCCTCTCCAATATTTGTTGTTGTCTTTTGGATGGTGGCCATCCTAACTGGTGTGAGGTGATATCTCATTGTGGTTTTAATTTGCATTTCTCTGATGATTAGCGATGTGGAGCATCCTTTCATGTGCCTGTCGGCCATCTGAATTTCTTCTTTGGAGAAGTATCTGTTCAGCTCCTCTGCCTATTTTTAAATTGGATTATTTGCTTTTTGTTTGTTGAGGTGTATGAGCTCTTTGTATATTTTGGATGTCAACCCCTTATCAGATCTGTCATTTATGAATATATTCTTCCATACTAAGGAGATGTATTTAAATGAAAAAGGTAAGATGCCAAACTGTGTGTAGTGTACTACTTGATATTTGTGTAAATGTGCATTTGCCTGTATGTATGTGCATTGATGATCATGTCGGCAATACTCAAGTTACCTCTGAAGAGGGACTAGGAAACATGACATATGAGGGAGACTTCATAGCATACTCTTTTGTACTTCTAATTTTGTGCTGTGTACATTTATTGACAACAAATAATTGTGATTTTTAAGAATAAAAAAATTCTATCAAAGAATATTGTGTGGAAAAAATGTTAATATGTTTAAGAAGAAAAGGTTACAAATTAGTAGGTATGACTCTAAATTTATAAATATATATGTAGAGATGCATGATATTATCAGTTTGGAGAATTCCAATGTGTAAAGAGTGGTCATCTCTGAATGGTGGATTCTAGATAACTGATAATTGTATTTTCTGATTTTTATAGAATATTTTTTATTTTTATAACAATAAAGTATAAATTTGATAATCTTAGTGCTGTGGTTTCCATGTTATTTTAAGGGGAAAATGAATTTTTAAGTGTTCCTTATTTAAGAAGAATATAAAAAACTCTTTGGACCTTAGTTCCAGTGAGGCCCTGGGTTTAAGACCTTAACCTGAATCTTTTTGTAGGTGTTTTTCTTTTTAGGGTCATTAGGGCAAAGCACAGGTTGTACCACTGTCAGTGTTCTTTTTATGGAGGCAATGGTGTTTATTCTGTTGTTTATTATTTGGTAACTTCTCAGTGGCACATGTCTCTCCTTTGACATACATTAAGTCTTTGCCCCAGGAGGCTGTAGTCACTCATAATAAATTTTAAAATATCACCAGGATTAAAATCTCAGGTTACTTTTGTCTTCTGTTTATAAAGAGTTCACTGTAGCCCCTTTTATTATACATTCAAAAATAAGTTCCTCAATATGCCACTGGGGCACATTTATCAGTTTGCTTTGTAATTTCATGTTGAGCTAACTCTACTGATGTTACAAAAGCTCCCAGAGCCTACAGAAAATACCTGGAAGCTATGTTTCCCACGTAAGTGACAAAATAAGGCATATACCTGAGAGTTTGTTTTGGGGGCTTTCAAGAGGAAAAAAGGGTGATCCTTAAGGCTCAGAAGGAGAATGCACATTCAGTACCCCCTGAATCATGCACACCTGACCTGATTCCCAAAGCTCTTGAAGGTATAAACTTAGGTCATCCTTAATGAAGGTACTGGAAAAGCCTAGAGCTTGCTCCAATACTGTTTCTTTTAGAGAAACTAATTATAGGATGGTCTCTTTTCCACATTTTTATTTTGGCTATTGAAAACATTAGATATTAAGTAAGTGTAGGTCAAGTACAGGCTTCACCTTCCCATTAGTGGTCCCTTCAGTAGAGATGAGGAGCTGATGGTGTCCACTTGGGGAACTAGATGTTTGAAACAAAAGTTCATTTAAGATAAAATTTGCTCTTTATCATCTGTAGATTGAATGAGAGATCCTGCGAGTACAGTGTTCCTTGTCTGCAGTAATAGAGTCTGTTCCCATCTCAAGGTACTCTGTGGTAGATGTTTAATCACTGCACTTGTTTTCCTATCACCCTGCTGCACATGAATTGCCTCACAGCATAGTATTGGCAAAGTACTCTGAGGTTCAATTCAGTCAATATTTATTACCCTTGAAGTTCAAGTCAATAAATATTTATTGAATTGAGCCATTCAATATGCTAATTACTGGAGATACGGAACTAAGGCAGACCCTGACTTTAAGACCACAGTCTTTTAGGGGAGACAGATTAATAGTACAATGTAAGTGCAACCACGGCCATGAGGGCAAGGTGTAAGTAGGACAGAGGAGGGAATATTTGCCTGCAGACACCTCATATTCTCTTTAGAGCAATTTAGGATGTGAATAGACAAAAAGAAGTAACTGTAGGAGGACAGGGATGCAATAACAGAATTCTCAGGGATGAACACTGTAAAAGTAACTAAGTATGGTTTTGTAATGGTTTATTTCCAAAATACAGGTATTTGTTTGAACTGAAGGAAGATGATGACGCATGTAAAAAAGCCCACCAGACGGGAGCATTTTACCTCTTTCATAGCCTGGCTCCTTTGCTTCAGAAATCAGACCATCAATATCTGGCCCCCCAGCATAGTCTATTAGGTAAGCCCAAAGTTGAACAGAAGAGTAGAGCAGCCTGTGGCCACTAAGCAGATTTCAGTTCATATTAGATCCCTGAGCAGGACCCTCCAACTTACGAGTCCAGATTTTTCAAACTGTTTCTGCCAATTAATTATTTAGTGTATAAACCTGAGCTGTCCAGTCAATTATTTGGTGATGGTATGAACCACTACTGCATTAAACCAGGGATCAGCAAAACTCCTGTCCAAATTGGAACCCACCACACCACCTGTTTGGTAAATAGAATTTTATTGGAACACAGAGACACTCATTCATTTATGTATTGTCTGTGGCTGCTTTCACACTATAATGGCAGAGCGGAGTAGCTCTGACAGAACATAGGGCTTAAAAGCCTAAAATATTTTGCTAACCCCTGCCTTATACCAATGATTTCCAGCCTCTACAGTTGTGCACTGTTATACTGTTTAAGATTTGCATTACTTCATTTCTCCTAAAGGGGTCAAAATTAAGAGAATTAAAATTGTTTTGAGAACTCTTTTAGGGTATATAACTAGAGATATATAAGCTATTGGGATTTGGCTTTAAAAGTACTTTCAGTTTCATGTGATGTCACTATACACTGACTGACTTCTAAATACACTGCCAGTGGGTTTCCTCCCTGGGTCAGATGTTGCAGTACTTGGGTAAGTAGTTTCTAGCAGTGCAGAAGAATATGAGGATGCCATCAGACGGCACTAAACATTATTTAGAGACTTAGCAATTTTATATTGTAGTATGAATAAACAAAAAGAATAAATCCTTCAGACTTAGTATAGGTTTTCTCTGTATACAGCATTTGTTTATAAAGACTAGGATATCAGATAAGTTTTCAACTCTTACCTACAAAAGCAGCATAATCTGGAGGCTAAATTTTATAACTAATTTGGTCTGTACCATTTTAAGTGTGACTTTCAGTGCCATCATCAGTTAACTATTTAGAGACTTAGCAATGTTATATTGTAGAATGAATAAGTATCTTTCAAACTAAGAAATACACCCCTTTCACGATCCAATCACAGTAAAACTGTTAGAATTCCTTCTTTAGTCTACACTCTTCAGATTGCTGATGAGAAAATGGAGGCCTGGAGAGATGAAGTGACTAGATCAACATTACCCAGCTAGTGAGCTGCAGGGCAGCGACTGGAAGCCAGATATACCTACTTAAAGCTGAAGTAGATGATCTCCTGTAGTCTTATGGCTGTGGTTGTTTAACCAAAACCCTTGTTTTTGTCCCTTCTCCTTTTCTATTTCTTAGAGTTGGAAGGTCTCCTGGGTAAGTTTGGACAGGACACACAAAGAATAGAAGATTCTGTGCTGATTGGATGCTCTGAACAGCATGAAGCATGGTTTGCTTTGGATCTAGGTCTAACTAGCTCCTTTTCCATAAATGGTACATAATACTTTTCCTAATGGGTACTTTCCAGTGGTTCTCACACGCTGGGATTTCATGATAGTAAAATTTCAAAGAAAATTTTGGAAATACAAAAAGGTTATCAATTTTCTATTTTTTTTAAAGCAGGACATTAAAAATACTACCATCTACTACCATTTAAAAGAAAATAAAGGACAGTTTAATACTTTTTAAGCTAGGTGGTGGGTGCTCAGATGTTTACTGTATCACTTTCTGCACCTTTATACATTGTCTTAAATATTTCATAAATATTTTAAAATTCATGAAATCGTAATTTCTCTTACCAGTGCAGGTGAATAAGCATGTTACCATGGAGTAGCTCTTGTCCTCAGACCTACATTTTGGAACCAGGTTGCTGTAGGCTGATAACTACCAAGCTTTCCTTCTCTCAGGTTCTAGGTGTAAATGTAGTGATGCAGGAATGAGGTTCAGATGGGAGGATAGGGGTCCCATTTCATCTCTTTTCCAGGGTTAGTGTGTGGCTATTGCAAATGTTCTTGCTGCCCTTGAGCAGAGATTGAGAATTATTATGCCTGAACATAAGAATCACCTGGTGCTTGTTAAAAAATAATTTCTGGGCCTTACCTGCTGTTCAGAATCTCCAGGTAGGGTCTTGAGAACCTGCATATTTTTACTTTTTCCTAGTTGAGTCTTATTAGGTGAGTTTGGGAAACACTGTTCTAATAGGACATTTTTCAGATGGGCCTTGAGGTAAAGTTTTATATTTGTTTCATTTCATTCCTTTTTTTCTCATTTTCTAGCTTCCTTACAGAAACCTGAAATGGAGATAGAGCTCAAGGGGTCTTTCATTGAGCTGAGGAAGGCTTTCTTCCAGATGAATGTGAAGGATGCCTCCTTGCTATCCATGGTAAATACTCTTCTCAGTTCTATAGGAAATTTAGTAAAGCAGTGTGTATAGGCATGTACATACAATGCATAACACAAGGCTAGAGTGACATCTGATTTCTTTTGCAGATCATAGTCCTTCCTACAAAGGCAGAAGGACAACATGCTGTGGGAGATTGCTTATTCTTCTTTCTTTTGTCCTTCTTTTTGGTAGGATCACTTCAGGATCAGTCTCCTAGGGACATGCAGATCTATGGCAATATGTTCTGGCAGCCTTTTAAACAGTTTAGATGCCTCACAGCATAACTTATACATCATCTTTTTCCTATGAAGAACTGTTTTATATTGCCTTAATAACTTGTCCTCACAGCTTTAAATTTCATTTGCTAAAGTGCTTTTGATTGTCCATTTAATTAAAAAAGGTATCTAAACATTTATTTGCAAAAAACCATTCAACTTTATTAGGGAGGAGTATATGTTGGAGTGTTCAACTATATTGGAAATGTTTTATTTTTAAGCTGGGTCATAAGTACATGGGTATTCATTATAATACTTTATACATACTTAAAATAATTCATAATACATTTTATTATATGCTTTCTTTTATTCATCTTTCAGAGGCTAGAGGAGTATGTTGATAGTTTCCTTATTTTAAAGTGAACAGTTAATAACCATTTAAAGTAGGTGAGCTGGAAAGGGATTATTATTTCCCTTTGAGTTGTTCTATATACTAGGCCCAGCACTGTTTGAAATGAGCCCCGCATTCTCTCTAAATGAAACCAAGCTCACCTGTGTATTCCTAGGCTCAGGCTCTTCTCCGTTGGCATGATGGTCATCAGTTCTGCAGCAGAAGTGGGCAGCCCACCAAGAAGAATATGGCTGGCAGCAAGCGTATGTGCCCTTCTAACAAGATCATCTACTATCCACAGGTGAGCATTGCTTTAAAAGGACAGTGATCCAAGAAGGCTGTGTACTACTCTGCCCTGGGGAGGTAAGCTGTACAATTAAAAGGCTTTCCTTAGTTATCCATACCTTCATTCCATTCATTAATAGACCCCCAAAGCCCTAGTGTCTAAGTTTCCATCCCCTTTTCCTAGATGGCTCCTGTGGTGATCACTCTGGTGTCAGATGGGACTCGATGCCTACTTGCCCGCCAGAGTTCCTTTCCCAAGGGAATGTATTCTGCATTGGCAGGTTTTTGTGATATAGGTAAGGAGTTTAGGGCATGTACAGGTGACAAGGAGGACATGAAAGCTTATCAACAGTAGGTATTTCTTGTTGCCACAGTCTTGGAGTCTCAAGCACGTTCCTGCCAATCATGTCAAGAAAACTGCCTCTGGCTTTGTAATTTTCCAGTATTTTATTAGGAAATTTTCAAACAGTGTAGCTGAAATAATATTTAATATATTAAGTATATAATTATATGTTATATAATATATAATTATAAAATCAGTATACATTATAATTACACATGAAATATGAAATGATTTATAATTATGTAATAAATTTTATTTTAAAATTAAAATATTAATTAAATTTTAATATTTATATAACTATAAATTTATATTTAATAATTATTTAATTATAGTAGAATTATACAGTGAACACCCGTACACTCAACACCTAGACACTCATTTTTTTTCACTACACTTATCACATATCCATCTTTCCATACATCAATTCATCTTATTTTTTGATGCACAGATTAAACCTTAATACACATCTTAAATATTTCAGCATGCATAAATCCATTAGAATTCAATACTTATTTACAAGTTTTTTTTTTCTCAGTATTGGAGTAAAATTTTCAAATGGTGAAATATGGCATTATTAAAATTCTATTTTATAGAATTCTATTAAAGCTGACAGCAGCAGAAGCCTCTCCCACTGCCACTCTTTATTTTTCATTATAATCAACCTAGTAGACTTAAGTATTGCAGTTCAATCCCTAACTCCAGACTTATTTCCTGTTATTGTAGCGATGGGGAGATTCAGAGCTCTCTCAAGAGTATTTCATTGAAATTTTGGAGCCAGTTTTGCACTGCTTTCACAGATGGGCATCTCTATCACCCTTCCTGCTGCAGGGCTGTCCTGAATTAATCTGAGTGCTTGTAGGTGAAAGTCTGGAAGAGGCTGTCCGGCATGAAGTTGCAGAGGAGGTGGGATTGGAGGTGGAGAGACTGCAGTACTCTGCATCCCAGCACTGGCCCTTTCCTAATAGCTCACTTATGATTGCTTGTCATGCAACTGTGAAACCAGGGCAGACAGAGGTAAATTCTGATGCTTCTCTTCTATTTTCTTTTGCTTTATCCAAGCTGGTCAGTAGGTACTTAACTAAGCACCTATCTAGGCCAGCACTGTCTAAATTATACAAAGATACAGAATACATGAATTATGCCCTTAAAAACTGGAAACAACCTCCATGAAAATTGGGAGTGCCAACATGATCAACACTCTTCCTTGTGTATAATCTCAATCATGAGACGATTTAACTTTCACAAACAGTACTTAACAGACTTTCTTGTACAGAGTAAGCACACAATAAATATATCAAATTGATAAATAATTTCAGGATTGATCTTATTGCTCAAGTCAGTCAGGATGTTGGAACTAGTAATAAAAAATCACAGGAATTTCTGGTTGAAAAGTACTTACATGTTATCTTATCCAACCTTATCTTGCTCTTCTGAGAATCCTTTACAGATAATGTTATATAGTCCTTACCTGCTGAAGTCTGTCTATTGTGTATTTTGGTTTGTAAAGACTGAAAAATAATCTAATCTGTTTAGGCTTCCTATGGATACACTGCTTCTTACAAAGAAGATACTATGCTTTTATTATTAATTATTATTGACTATCATTAACAAGGGTGTTATCCTTTAAAAGAAGAGTAATGTGTATGTTCTTTATAAATTGAAACTTATGCCATAAATAGAGGCACACACACACAAAAACAAATATTATTCATATTTTACCTCTCCATGTTAACCACTTTTATTATTTTAGTATTTGTACTTCCAGAATTTTAAAAAATATATATATTTATTTATAAATATTAACTAAGCAGTAAATAAAATTAAATATATATACATATATATTTTTTACTATTTTAAAATATATATTTAAATCTTCTCTCTTAATTATGCCTCTGTTTCTGGGCAATATCTAGAACTGATTATCTTCCAGGTATTACCTTCTAAGATTGCTCACTTCTGGAAACATTTTCTCACCTTTGGTCATAGTATTTTAAATTCTGTAGCTCCTAACCTTACATCTTGTTTTTTCTTCTGGCTTTCAGATTCAGGTGAACTTGAGAGAACTAGAAGCAGCTAGCTGGTTCAGTCATGATGAGGTGGCTGCTGCTCTGAGGAGGAACAACCCATATACTCAGCAACAGAATAGGACTTTCCCATTCTGGCTGCCCCCCAAGTTAGCCATTGCCCACCAATTAATTAAGGAGTGGGTAGAAAAACCAAGCTATTCTACCCTGCCTGCTTAGCTCATATCTAGCCATTCAGATCTCACCACAGTATCCTAGAGGGGCATTATGGACGTCAGCTGATAAAGGGGAGATGACAAAAGGCCGTATCCAAGTCAATCTTTTAATAAGGCAGAGCAGAAGGTGCACCTACAGCAGGACACTTTTATCAGCAGTGTTAATGAAAGAAATTCCTACTCAAAGCAATCGAAAAATGCCAAAACCAAGAAGAAAACAATTGTCAAATGAGAGGGAAGGTGGAAACATTCATCTGGATGTAGGCCCTTGTTCACCCATTTTTAACTGGGACTTGGAAGCAAACATCTTTTGGCATGTATCTTGTTAAATAATGATGGGTTTATACTAACTACAAAAATGTACCTGTTTTGGTTAAAACTTTTTTTATCTTAGTTTTGAAAATATACAGCAAATTTCAACCCACTATTGAGTTACTTTTTATCCTCACAAAATTAAGAAAAATAGCACAAAATAACATTGTAAAATTTGTGTAGTTATTTGGTACATGGTAGTTAAATAGAAGTCATATTTCTTTAAGTTACTTGATGAGATGATGAAAGTGGGAGCCAGGGTCTTCCTCAAAGTACTCTATAATCAGATGCAGAGATGTTCTGTTCAGGTAACTGCATCCCAGTGGAACTCAAGATATGTCTTTTTCTGCTGCTGTTACTTGCTCAGTTTGTGACCCAAGGAAAAGACGATCATGTTGCCATTTCAGTTTCCTCAATGTAAAATGGTTGCTGCCATTTGTATACTCAATAACTTCAACTGAGAGATTAGTGAGGATGAACCACTTCTTGTGTTTTAATGGAATAAACCAAATTTAGGATTTCTTATCATTCATATTTACCATTCTATCATAGGGGAGAAGAATTTATCTGGAAGAAATAAAATAAATTTCCACACCTCTGTTCAGATGTATTTTTTTGTCTTATGAAGTGAGGAAATTATAGAAAGTGAGAATTTGGTGATGCAGGGAGAAAAGGAATCTCTCTAATTAATATGACAAACTAGAGGAAGAGTCCAAGTCTGTGGAACAACTGAAACAATGTGGAGAAGAAATATCTCGATAGAGGTATGTTTGAAAATAGGAATGGCTGGGGAAAGAGGTGTATCTTCAGATGATTTTAGGTACTAATTTGTGATTAAAGACACAAGTGCCAGAGATCTTAAGATTATTTACATATTAAAGTCCCAAAGGACTAAGCAAAAGATATTCTAGAACTAAACAAGTTGAAGCACTGAAATTCCTTTTGATCCCAGGTCACTGCTCTTGCCATTGCCAGCAAACCATCATTGCTTTGGGGAAATCAAAGTGCCTTCATCAGGAAATGCTGAGGGATAATATGTGATAGGACTTGATTGTCCTGTTAGATTGGCAGCTTGCCCTGACCCAAGATGAACCTAGCATCAAGAAGGGAAAAGTACTCTCGAAAGAGAGGTTCTGAGATTTCTTCATATCTTGCAGTTAGAAGAAAACAGTTCAGGGTCCATGTGTATTACTGTCTCCCAATCTTTTTTATCTCTCTGTGGGTGTGTTTGTGAGCACATGTGTACACATCCCCAATATCTGAAAATACTGATAGAAAGGGGAGTGTGCAGGATTCCTGGTTATGAGTTTTTCAAACTTACCCATGAGAAACTGTTTGCTTTTGGATTACTGTGTTGTTTTGAAAAAGAAAAGATGAGAGAGGCTAATAGGAGGAGCTGTAATACTGAACTTTGTTTCCCAGCAGTGAGTAAGGAGTGGGCTTTGCTTCTTAGACCTCCAAGGATATCTGAAAGCTGAGGCAAAAGAGGGTGGGGTTGGGATACTGAAAATGGCAGATAAATAAAAGAAAGTATGGGTACAGGGCTTACCTGGCTGGAGAATATTCATGTGGCAATTATAAAGGTGTTAAAGATAAAGAACCTACTTGGTCCATGAAGCAGAATAACAAAAACAGGTAAAACATTAAAACAAATATATTTGATGCCACAGTGAGCCTGGCTAAAGGTCAGTTCTGGTAGCTAGAATAAAACAAAACCTCCTTCATTCCTTATTTTTGCCTATCTTCCTTTCAGGGGCTGTCCAGGGGCTCAATTTTCTCTCTCCTGCTGACTTCAAAACTTTGTATGCACCCGAGTTGGGATCACAAAGACTTAAGCAGAGAGGGCAACATTTGGGACTCACAGGGTAGAAGTCAACCTGTGAAACTTGTAATGAAACATTTTTACTTAATGAGTAATCTAAACTAGAAACGAGCACAATCAGACTCAATATTTATTTAAGAAAAAAGAGTGGCTAGGTGTGCTGGTTAATCTTTCATTGGCTTACTTGTGGGTCTGTGATGAGTGCTGTCAGGCAGCTGTACTCCCATGCTTTGTAAAAGGTTAGAAGCAGGTCCTGCCAGTCCAGCTTGTGAACTATAGGATTCCAATATATTTGAAACCAGGTTCAGATCTATATCTGCGGCTGTCATAATAGATCCTTCTGCACCAGAATCTTCCTCATCTGAGCTGTTATTGACAATCTGAGATAGAGGTTCCTTATTCATATAGGGAAAAGAAAATCATGGGATAATATGCCATTAGACTGGATGGTAGTTACAATAAAAAGCTAACTAAGCAATAATGTAAAATTGAATTCCAAATAAAAAAATTTCTTATCCTTCATGAAACAGTAAAAATGAAGTCTAATAAACTGTAATTTAACACACATTAAACATTTTAAAATTTGGTTTCAACAGTGACAACACACTTCTTTCTAGGAAATTTTATACAAATTGCATGGATTTCTTCCTTATTGTGAAATAGCCCAAGGGAGATTTAAGTTGCCTAAGAGTTTTAAAAGTTGCCTAAGAGTTTTAAAAGAAATAAACAGAAAAATGAACTTAAAAAAAATTTTTTTTAGATTTAAAAAATTTAAATTTTCTAGATCTAAAAAAATTAAAATTTTTCTCTGAATGAAAGAATCTAGATTCCTTCCCCCACCCCTCCCCAACATGAAAAAAAATTAAAGTAAAAATCTGAGGCTTTGTGGGGTCAAACCATAGACTCTGAATTGTTTCTCAAGCCTTTGGCTTCACAGGTTGGAGAAAAGATTTGAAAGATTGTAGCCTGATCTATAGATCTTTATATCTTTGCTATTCAAAGTGTGATCCACAAACAGCAGCATGTGTATCATTTGGGAGCTTAGTAGAAATGTGAAATCTCAGGCCTCACCCCAGACCTACTTAACCAGAACCTGTACTTTAACAAGTTCTTTAGGTGGTTCAGATGCACATTAAAATTTAAGAAACACCACTTTAGATAAATCTAATGAAGGCTTCAATATGTTTTGGCAATATTGGAAGAGATTACAATTTTAAATGTGGTTTGATTATCAAAGCAGAGAGAGTTAACATTAATTAAGGACCCATTATGGATTTTACTTTGTATCATTTGGTTCTCATGTTAATTCTGACATGAGGATTATTAGTTAATGGATATATTTACAGTGGGTGGCTGAGCTGGATTTTAAACCCTAATACATGAGACTCCAGGATCCATTCTCTTTCCATGATATATCTGTCTAGGGTTAAATAGTTCTAGTATAAATACTAGAGTAAAAAAAAAAAAAAATTGAGTGGAAGATGAATCTTAAATTTGGCTCTAAATTAGGGAAACATACAAAACAAGCACTTTTAATAGACTTTAAAATTATTTGGATATTTACAATCCTTTTTATTTAAAAAAAAAAATCAATTTAAGCTATTAGTAACTATGCAACCACATACTACTCTGAACACATCATATGTTTTTTTAACTTTAAATACCAATGTAACATAGAATAAGTAATGTAACTAAGCTTAAATTTAGGAAAATAAAGTTATAATCCTTCACCCTACCAGAGCTGGGAAAAAAATTAGCAATCTTACATTCTTCAAATCAAAAAATCAAATTTACCATTAAAAAATTATAATCAAAAGACAAAGAAAAACGGAGAGTAAAATATATAGACTCAGGGGAAGAGGTTGAACAAACACACATACCATTTGCTTCTGGGTGGTGAAACTTTTGCCAATGCTGGTATGTGCCAATTCCTGGTCCATCTGGGCCATGTATGACTTGAGACCATCAAGAGTTCCTTTTACAGATGCTTCTTCCCCAGGATCCTGTGTTTTGAGATCCAAGTCATCATCACTCTCTAAATATTCAAAGTCTTCCTCATCCAGATCATCAGAGTCCGACTCCCGAGGCCATGGTCCTACACAGACCCCAACACAGAAAGAGCCACTTGGTAAATGTTTTTTGAGTGATATTGTCTGCAGAAAGGAATGAATATACATAGGCAAAGTACTTCACAAAAATCTATTCCAGAAAATGGTTGCAGATTGCAAAAAACTGTTAGCAGATACTTGTAGAAAAATACACAGGCTGAACTGAATCAACTTTTTTTTTAAATGCTCATTCAAAATTAAAAATTTTTATTTAAAAAATTATGAAATTATATAATACATAAATACATTTTGATGTAAACATTCAAGCCATACAGAGTTACTATCACATCTCACTCTTTTCCCAAGGGTGAGTATCTTTAAACAGTTTGGTGGGTATTCGGGCATTTATCTATGCAGTTCTGTACATTCATAGATAACACATGTAATTTTTTTACATATATATTCAGTTATGGTTTGATTTTCCAATTTTTTATATGTCTTGGATGTCCTTCTCTGTTAACACATGTAGATGGGCCTCATTCTTTATTAAGGTTACACAGTATTTCATAATATGGATGTGCTATGATTTTTTAGCCACTTGCCTCTCAGTGAACATTTAATAAATTCCAATTTTTTGCCATTATAGTGCTGCAATCACCATCTCAGCACACCTATCATTTTCATGGAGTTAATCCCTAGAAGTGAAATTGCTGAGTCAAAGGTTATGACCATTCTAGAGTATCAAAACTGCCCTCTGAAAAGGCAAGTTACATCTAGCCCCACAGTTTGACAATGTTCATTTCTCCAACCCTTGAGGAAACTGGTTATAATCAATCTTTTAAATTTTTGACAATAGATGGGCAAAAAAATTAGTTCTTATTTTTATTGTGTATTCACTTGCTTACTAGAAACAGTTAACTGTTTTCAAATATTTATTGTCTATATTTCTTTTTTCAAGATACTGCTTGTTTATATTCTTTGTTGATTTTTTTTTACTTGGCAATTTGTCTTTTTATTATTAGAGTGTAAGTACTATAAGTCTAAAAGAGAAAAAAACAATATAGTATGGGGGCCAAGGTAAAAACCCTATCTAAACACACACAACATTCACTCACTCAATAAATATTTAATGAACAGCTACTAAGTCAGGCACTGAGCTAAGCATCCTCTGCAAAATCAGTAATTTATGGTTGGAAGCAACTCAAAATCATGAAGAGAAAGCAAATATTTTGACTTCTGAAAGATCCAATGCTCCAACACTCTAGCAACAGTCACCTTACTTACAATTTTAAAATGAAAATAAACATTATACTATAACTTACCTAAAATCTTATCAAAATAATTAAGAAAAGAATCTGTATCAAAAGTGATTGGAGACTCAGAAGGTTCTCTGCAAGATTAAAGGAAAAAGACAATTTATTCCATATACAACTCTTTGAAACTTTTTCTATAGTTGTGCCATTCTTAGGAAAACCACCAGAGATACAATCTCAAAAGAGGCACAGCAAGGAAAACTGTAGTTAAAATTTTTAAAATATTTATGTTGATCTTGCAGAGCAACAGAAATGGGAAAGACTGATGAAATAAAAGTAAAAATTGCACTTTGTTTATGTACATTTTACTCATGCTATTTCGGGACCTACTTACCCTCCACCTCCCACAAGATATACCTAGCATTAGAAAAGAAGTTACTTATTTGAGTTCATTTAAATATGCCAATCTCTTTTAAGAACCAAATCTTTAAGAATAAATAAGAACATACCTTCCTTTGCTCCTGCTTTCTTAGAGAAAGAACATTGAACATGAATTTTAATCTCATGAGGTTTAAGAGCACCAATGCTAATATATATTTGCTGTGTAAGTAACAATTCTATCTTTTTTCCTATTACTTGCCAAATACAATTTCCCTTTTCTTCTGTTATTATTTCTCCCTCTGATGTACTCTTTTAGCCCCTTTGAGTTTGAAGCTTCCAATCTGCTGTTGGGTAGGAGATCACAAGTCTGAGCTTGCTGAGAATTACATGTTAAGAGTCCATGCAGTTTCGAGTAAAATTTTAGAGTAAAGTACATGATTTCCCTGCACAGCTCTGAGATGGCGGCTTTTAGATCTGTTGAGTGGTCTCTGGCTTACTGACTCCAGATAAGTAGCTTATCAAGGCATTAGGCACCAAAAGAGGGAAACAAAGCAGTACAAATCATTTACTTAAAAAAAAAAAAAGAGGGAGGTGGGGTGGGGACTGGCAATGGCTGAATGACTTAAATATATGGAGTGGAACTATTTATATATTTATATTTCAACACCAATTACCGAGGCAGCTCTGCTCCTTTGTGGGTTGAGACTTTGGATATGAAAGCTTTCATGCTCTCTGAGACTTGAGTTAAGTCATAGTTCTCCTTTTCCTCCTTGGAAATAGGCTCTGCAGCTTTTTTGCCAGCAGCTTCCTGCAGTAGCTGGTCCAGCTGATGTGGTGAGAGATCTAACCACTGGTCATCTGAAAAAGAAGAAAGCATGATGCTGCCATACAACACCAGCATGGCAGGTACTCTCAAGGAAGGACCCTGTGAGACTTAGTGGAATGCTTTAACTCTTTCTAAGCCTTCTGCTATATTTTTGGTCCATCACTTACCATCTTCTGGGGGAAGATTAGCTTCTTCTTTCTTAAGCTCTTCTATATCAAATGATATTGTCTGTAACAGGGTTAAGATTTCTTCACCTGGGCTCATAGCTTGAGCGCTACAAAAAATAAAAAACATGATTTTTAAAAATATAACAGCTCAGAAAAATAATCACAAAAACATAGTATTTTTTTTTGAGAGGGCATCTCATATTTATTGATCAAATGGTTGTTAACAATAAAATTCTGTATAGGGGACTCAATGCACAATCATTATTCAACCCCAAGTCTAATTCTAAACAGTCTCCAATCTTCTGAAGCATAATGAACAAGTTCTTACGTGGTAAACAACTTCTTACATAGTGACTAAGTTCTAACATGGTGAACAGTGCAAGGGCAGTCATATCACAGAAACTTTCAGTTTTGATCACGCATCACGAACTATAAACAATCAGGTCAGATATGATTATTCGTTTGATTTTTTTTTTTTTGAGAGGGCATCTCTCATATTTATTGATCAAATGGTTGTTACCAACAATAAAATTATGTATAGGGGAGTCAATGGTCAATGCACAATCATTAATCCACCCCAAGCCTAATTTTCATCAGTTTCCAATCTTCTGAAGCATAACGAACAAGTTCTTACATGGTGAACAAATACTTACATAGTGAGTAAGTTCTTACATGGTGAACAGTGCAAGGGCAGTCATCACAGAAACTTTCGGTTTGGATCACACATTAAGAAATATAAACAATCAGTTCAAATATGAATATTCGTTTGATTATTATACTTGATTTATATGTGGATACCACATTTATCCCTTTATTATTATTATTATTATTTTTAATAAAATGCTGAAGTGGTAGGTAGATGCAAGATAAAGGTAGAAAACATAGTTTAGTGTTGTAAGAGAGCAAATGTAGATGATCAGGTGTGTGCCTGTAGACTATGTGTTAATCCAAGCTAGACAAGGGCAATAAAACATCCACGG